CTGTGAATTTTGTGTATTGTTGCACCCCTAGTAAAGAAGTGTGTTTCCATGTGGTAGCTGAGAATCAGGTGTTGCTGTTGTCATTTCTGGTGTGTTCGGTTTGACAGCACTACCCTGTCAAAGCTCACAAACCGTGCAATGGAGTGGATACTATACTACATGGAAGTGTGCTGAAAGTATCCACATTCAGACACTAGGTGGATTTTTTTCCTTTCATTTATCTGATATTATTGTGTAAACATAATCATACAGTTTTGGGTAAATAAAAATTCATCCACAGTTTATGATGTAGTAAAAAAAAAAATCAACAGTGAACACAAATGGTTAAGCAAAAGTTTAATTTTTCTGTCTAAAATCCCAGAATGCTGTTTTTCCAATGTCCCGTCGGTGACTGTCGGTGGTTGTGATAAGGACATTACAGTTCTTTAATCAAGATGTTATTGGCTGAGCCCAACAATGCCGATACAAAACTCCTTATCCCTCTCACTAAGTAGATGCGATATTGCGGTTCAGTGCGTCCATCCGTGGATATAAAATCATTCTAGAAAAGCCGGCTTGTGTTTCTTCCCACATAGCACGAGTTTGTAAGAGGAGGTAAAGTGTGGGGGAGGTGGTAATACTTAAAAGTACAATTGCAAAACCATGAAACTAATGTTCCCTGCTCATAAATATCAAAGTGTGATTGAATTTATTCCTTACGAACTGCTCAATCATTTAGAGCGTGTGAGGTCTTTTGAAACCCACACACATCTTTTCATGTTTCTTTTATTTATTTATTTTATTCTATCAACATTTGATCAATCCAGGAAATGGGAGTCCCTTTTCACCTGGCATTTTGAAAGGACAAAGGATGAGATCATGCAATAAATTGTTCCAATTCACTACTCAGAAGCAGCAGCAGCAGCAGCAGCCTTGCCCTAATGGTAGGTACTAATTGTAATGGCTTTAAAAGGAGGGAGAGTCAAAAGCAAGACAAAGGAGACCTGGGTGAGGTTCCAAATCCAAATTTTTTATCAAAATCTGAGGTCATATGCAGGCAGGCAGGCGGCCAGGCCACATTTTTTACATGCAGATAAGTGCAGCAGGAAGGATAGAATATACAGGCTGGGATGAAGTTACATGACGAGAACACAATGGGGGAAAAAATACAGAAGAAAAATCTCACACAGTGAAGTCCGTCCTCTAGTGAGTGCTACGCAGAAAAACAGAAGCAGAGAAAAGCAGAACAAAGAGCGAGAGTAAAACTGATAACGAAAATGGAGACGGTTGCGCCTCAAATCTGCTTCACCCAGAAAGCCCATTTTATCCGAGACGTCAACTGAAATACGCACGCTGATTTTCACATTTTTGTTTCTTTACATTTGAGCTGCCCACCTGCAAAGAAGAGATGTTGTTTTTTAGCTTTCTGCACTTGGCAGCTTTCTGCTCCACTTTCTTTAATTAAACACATAGTTTCTCACCCTTCCTCTTCACTCTCTTACAATGTGGTCAACTTGTGAAGAGTACACTCACGGGTCAGCAGGATATGAGTTTTTGCTCTATTAAGAGCAACAGGTTGGACCACATTGGATGGGAACTGCAAAGTAAAACGATGCTAGCCCAGGGTTTATCCTCAGTTCTCCAATCGAAAACTAAATTGGGATTATGAAATCTAAAAGATTTTTGTTAACAGGATTAAGGCGTGGCCCTGAATACATGACTGGATCCCCCTCAGATTCATGCTGCTTTCTTTTGTTTACTTCTGTGTTGCTTCTTACAGTTACATGTTGAAGAAGAAATGAGTGGCTGAAATGCGTTCTTTTCTTCGTAATGATCAAATCAAAGCAAAGCTGAATGTCTTCTCTCCCCCAGCGACTCCGTTTATGTGCCATTAAGACTAATTTCCTGCTTCCTTCTCTGTCTTTACAGCTACACTGGGAACCTTGGAATTCAGTTTGCTGTATGACCAGGAGAACAATGCACTGCACTGCACCATTAACAAAGCCAAGGTGAGCTACCAAGATGATGCTGATGATGATGACGATTACAAGAATTTGCAGTCTTTGATTGCACACTCACAGTCAAGCGTCTCTGCTTTGTTGGTGTTTGCCTTGCATTTGGTTTATTATTAGATGAACAGATCATTCACTGCGCAGCCATCTGTCACTACTTTCTAACGAGGTTATAAAGTGCAGATCGATACAAACCAGCTGACGTGTTTTCAGTATTTTCTCAGGTTCGGTAAGATAACTGTCGAGTTAAATATTTTTGAAGAAGCCGCCTCTCGTGTCAACCTACACATACTGGCAAAAAGGCTGTGGAATAGCAACTTAACACATCCCACTGTTTAAAAAAAGTGAAAGAGATACTTACAACTATTTTTATCCCAGAAGTATTTCTAAAGCATATTGCTAAAAACCAGATCATAACTGGTACCACGCCAATAAATGTCTTCTTCTTCTTTTTTTTCTGAAGTAATTTGCTACTATTCAGTTGATTTATGGGGATTTAGGCAGCTAAAGAGTCTGATATGTTTCTTATTGGTGGGGATCAAACCTACGGAGCCCCTTTGATGACATGGTCCAAAAAAGAAATAAATTGTGACCACTAAATACTACCTCATGGGCACGAAATGGGTATAACATGCCCTCGAAATAGTGGGCACGAAATAGGTAAAACGTGCACACGAAATGCTAATTTGTGCCCACGAAACACTTGACCGATAGCCGTGATCCTTCCCAGGCCCTTGCAGTTGGTTGACAATAAAATCTATCCCGGCGTCCAGGTCGTACTTACGTCTGTAAAGCAACTGTGCTCTCAATAATAATAATTGCTATATAACTTTTGCACTGTCCACTGCCTGCTGTGGCAAAACAAATGTCCCATGTGTGGGACTAATAAATCTTATCTTATCTTATCTTATCTTATCTTATCTTATCTTATGATCCTGTTTAAATATCTCTCCTGGTTTAAACAGGAGATGGTTCCTTGCATTGCAGGCTTTTCAAAATGCATTTGTAGCTCATTCCCAGCCCAAAATAAAACTCAATCATACCATCTCTGTCAATGGTTTAGCCTACTCTTATGCTTATGTCTCTACGCAGCTGTCCAGGAATTGTATCAATATGGTGTGCGCACGTTATCTATTTTGTTGCCACAAATGCGTAACTCGTTGCCACGTTATACCCAATTCGTGCCCACAAATAAGTATTTCATGGGCACGTTATACCTATTTCGAGGGCACGAAGTAGTATTTTGTGGCCACAATTTATTTATTTTTTGGACCATGTCATCAGAGGGGCTCTGTACAAACCAGACCTGAATTGACAGCAACTGCTTGGTGGCCTTTAGTGTTAAAAAAAACCCAACATATTAAAATGCTAATATTAGAGCAGACCTTTACTTTTTATTTCCTCCTATTCCTGGGTAAATTTTAATATACTGCACTGTAAATCCTTTGTTTTCTGAGGTGCTCCCGTTTTTCTCATCTCATTTTCTTTCTGTTTGCTGGGAATGCAGATTTTACCTTCCAAATCCAGCTGTTTTCCTGATAAATTCAGGGCATACATTCAGGAGTTCACCATACTTGTCTCTCAATTGTTGGAAGTTTCTTAAATACTGCTTTTCTCACTAATTAACTCCTGTGTCTTTCCATTGAGCTTTTTCCATTGAGATTCAGCTCAACTCTTCCTGCAGCTTTTCCTATTTTTCTTCTTAATTACTAAATTTTTGATTACATTTAACACATCCCTAAAAAATCTTTATATCGTTTATCTCTATAGCCTTGTATTTCCTTGTATATTAATGTTGTAGCTGTAAGAATACTGTGCAAATGCTTGCAGAAACCGCCGCAGTGGCATTGATAAATTTTTCAATAACTACATAATTACCAAACATAGCATACTGAGATAAACCATATCTCATTTTTAATAAAAGCACCATTTTTATCTGATGTATAAAGGTTGAGCGAAGAGGTGTCGTCCTCGCTCGATCCCTTGCTTGTGGTTGTTGTGATGAAGTGATGGTTTTGACAGCCATGGCTGCCGTCAGCAGCTATAACTCTTCCTATCTGTCTGTGTGAATAGCTGGTATGGAGGAAAGTGGGCATCAGAGGAGCCTGTCTTGGCGGGAGTGTTGGACAGCAGAGTGGGCATCAGGCCATCTTGATTTATGGTGTTTATTTTCTATACCGCTCGGCTCCTAGGCTTCAGCTGCCGACCAGCCAAGCAGAAGAAACGATTTTTCTCCCTTGAATAGTGTATATAGCAATTTCCATGATTTAATTTGTTTTCTAAACCCCTTACTGATTTTTCTAACCACAGATTGTTTCCTTGGGTTTTCTGCCAAAGCTTCAAGCTTCAAGCTTCAAGCTTCAATAGCAACTTCAGCTTCAGCCTCAATTGAGGATTTGTCTAATGAGATGTTATGGATTTTGGCTTATTGAAGATTAGGAGATTCATACAAAATCAACACTGGGAAACTTTCTTAAACTTCTGTGGATTGATGTTGGCGGCTAAAGAGGCAGAGTGCAGCAGGCACAGGGTTTTTTTCCTTCTTTTTCTGTGCAGCCGTGACAGCGCACGTGACAGTGCCTATTATCGCAGACGAGCTGGCATTTGGTCAGAAAAATAAATGCCATTCATTGCCGAAGCTGACAAAAGGTCACCTGACAACATGACACAAACAAACAAAACAGGTTGAAGAAAGTGGAAAAGGCTACTGATCAGATAATTATTCTAACATGGCAAAAGATCTGAATTTAACTGGTATAAAAAGGCTTTTATAGAGGAACAGGTCAAATGTAGAAAATTCAGAAGGGCTCAGCTCTACCTGCTCAACTACTCTTAATCATATTGAACGTCTCAAGAGAGGAAAACAAAGGAGGCTGAAGTAGAGCCAAAGAACCTGATGCACATAAAAGATCAGTACTGTAGAGTCGAACTGTAAAACTGTGAAACTGTTTACAATTTCATCCTGTGTGCACTACAGAGGCATTTCTAAAGGATTCTCACTTAGTTTTAAAGAGAGTGGTACATTCTCTGGATTTTTATTAGCTTCAAATTATATCCTCAAATTTAATTTAATTTCTTTGGCAAACTACAAGCTGTTAGCCAATGAGCATGTGGTTTCACAGTCAGACCATCCCTTCTTTGTCACCTGAGGCTCAAGAATGAGACATCAGAAACCAATGGGTGAGCTCACAGTAGCTGTATCCATATTTTATATTATCTATGGTCATTAACCAGTGGAGATAAAGTTGATAACCCTCCTTTCCCAAACACAGAATTAAGCAGAATTTACAAAATTGGCTGGATTTTATTCAGTGCAATCCAAGCCGAGTGACTGAGTCCATGAACTCATCATGAAAGTGCTTATGGAAGTCAAAGTCAAGTTCAAGAGCCGTTTTCCTTTAGACTTTGACAGGACCAGAAGTCTTTTTCAGCCAAAGCAGCCACAGTTTCAAAGCAGGCCTTATCAGCAGGGCTTTGTTCCAGAAATTTGTTCTCTGAAATTGTTGTAATTCTATCCAACTCAGAGTAGCAGGGGAAGGGCTAGAGCTCATCCCAGCTGTCATAGTGTCAGGAAAGAAACATTCACACTCACACCTCAGTCAATTTAGAAATACCAGTTAATCTAGCATGCATGTCTTTGACTGTGAGAGGAAGCTGTGTTACCCATGCAGGCACAGAGAGAACAAGGAAGCTCTGCACGGAAAAGCCCCGGCAGGCTGGTGGATTTGAACTGGACTGTCTGTGCTGTCTTCATAGCTCCTCATAGCTTTTTTGATTATCTCACAGAAGCACAGAGGTCTTGCCCTGCAACTCAATCAGCAGACGGAAACCTTCCCACAGCATTTTAAGATATTATTCACTTACCCAGCACAAAAGCAACAAAACGCTATCTGCATAATTTCCCATCCATTAAGTCACTAATCATTACCTTGGCATTTTTTTCTATCTCCTCACGCTTCTATCACAAAGCAAATAATATATCATCTTCAGTCACTTGGTGTTTTCTGGGACTCAAAAAGGATGAATGAGTTATCCACTGTACCTCCAATGCACAGAAACAAGTTACCACGCAGTGTTAAGTTCCTTTTTCTACTAATTAATTCACTCATTAATTCTTATAGAGGCTGTTGCAGAGCCGTTTTCAGTTAAACTGTACACATAATATAAGACGTCTGTGGGTTTCTTGGCCGCTACACATAGTAATCTACTTTTAATTTGTAAGTGGAACTGAAAAGCTCTGAACCAAGCAATAAGTATGAAGGTAATAGGACACAAAAGCCCACAGACTCTCTCTTATTAACATTTAATTAAATTCTCGCCGTGACATGTCAACAAGAAGAGAGCCAGACCTATTTGATGGGATTACCTTTATGAGAGCTACTTTTACAAGGCAAAATTACTGTGATTAAAAACCTTTTTCTCTCTTTTTTTATACCATTGAAGAAAAAAAACCAAAACACTGATCTTTTGGCATTAGGCCTGGGATCTTCAGACTGTTAATAAAACCATGTGTGAGTTCACCTTTCTGATTTCTATCATGTTGACGTGAACTTAATTTCCATATGGCAGGCATGTCACTAATCAAAAGGGGAGGGAAACTAGCACTTACTCAAACCAGAGATGTGCTGACTTCAAATAGTATTTCCATTAAGTTCCAGGTATAGATACAGACGTTATAGCAACAAGCAATGATGACTGTCTGGGCTGTTATTGGTTATTTATTTTATAAAGACCTGTAGCCCTTCTAAACGAGGGAAATGCATCTACTGTCAACCATATGTTAGACTTCTTTGTACTGTTGGCCATCAGTTATGGATATATTTGTCGAATTTCTACAACTGAACTGGAAGTTATGCAAGGTTTTCACAAGGTAACTTTCACGTCATCAGCAAAGCATCAAACCTCTAACCGACTGCAGGTTTAACCTTTCCTACGCATGAGCAAAGCTATACAACAGCTGTGTCCCAATTCCTAGGCCGCATCGTTGGTAGGCCACT